TCAGCAGGTTTGTTTTGTGTCTCTCTTTCCATCAGGGGGTCCGCTTCTCTACAACGATGTGAAGTTTGTCTACAACTCGCAGCAGCTGAACGGCACCCAACGAGTACTACTGGATAACGTCATCTCGGAGGAGCAGTGCCGAGAGCTTCACAGGGTGGCCAGCGTGAGTAGGCAATACCCTTGGAGGAAACAGGTCTGTCACCTGGGCTGAGTGCCTGATGCTTTCCCCAGCATCTGGCTTGTGAGAGCTGAATGTGTGATCAGCCCCTGGAGAGGCTCTGGGTTCATGCCTCACTTTTGAGTGTTCCAGCTGCTGCCGGAATGCCTGTGGAGAACAGCAGTCAGATGCTTATCCCCATAACACACCCATAACTGCAGCACAGGAGCTGCTGCTTGGTCTTGGGCCATTCTTAGAAATGTCCTGCAGGACAGAGCCCATTAAAATACAGCTCTTTGCCTTCTCATCCATCATCAGCTGATCCTGGGAAGGAACTGAGGGTGCTTGAACAGCCCCATTCAGGAGGTGGGTGGCTGTTTTTCATCAGCTTAGAATGAATCATGTTCATGGACAGCTGCAGCACCTTCCCAACCAACTCACTGTCCCACTGAAAGCAGCCCTGGCGGCTTTAGGGAAGAGGGTTCCGGGTGCTTCCATTGCAGCTCCCCCTTTCCAGGGGAACCAGTTCACTCCTCACCCGTGTTCATGTCTTTCAGGGGATCATGCTGGCTGGAGATGGTTACAGGGGCAAAACTTCCCCCCACACTCCAAATGAGAGATTTGAAGGGGCCACTGTCCTCAAAGCCCTCAAGGTACCTCTCCTCTCCTTCTCCTCTCCCGTGCCCACACTCCCAGCCAGCGTATGGCACTGACCGTTTCTCTCCCCTTCGCCTTGCCCAGTATGGCTACGAGGGCCGTGTCCCGCTGAAGAGTGCCCGGCTCTTCTACGACATCAGTGAGAAGGCTCGCAGGATCGTCGAGTCCTACTTCATGCTGAACTCCACGCTCTACTTCTCCTACACCCACCTGGTGTGCCGCACCGCTCTCTCTGGTGAGAACTCAGAGGGCTGGTGGTGGGGCAGCAATGGGAGGACAGGAGGGGTTCAATTCCCCCCAGGGGGTTTACAAGTCGGGGACCCAAGCCTGAAAGTATCTTTGTTTTGCCTTATGCTTAAACTGGTGATCAAGGACTGGGCAAAGTCAGAATCCCCACAACAGCGAAGGGTGGGCACTGCTGTACCAAAGAGGCTCATTTCTGGGGTATCTCTTGTTTTCCTTGTCTCCAACTCTTGCCCTTTTCTCTTCCCTCTTCTATTGCCTCCTCTCACTGTCCCTTCTCCTTTCCACCCCTCCCTCCCAGCTCTCCATCTCTCTTGCCCGCAATAAGGAACAAGCAAATCTGAATCTTCAGATGTTGCCTTTTCTCCCCAGCCTTTCCATTCCTCCTCTCACCTGCGAACGCCACCCAGAGCGGGGTTGGGGCAGGCTCCCCACCGTGATGGACCCCACAGAGCATGGCATTTCCATCTCATCCATCCCTTCTCCTTCCCCCTTCCTCCCCATGGTCCTGCCTAGGCCAGCAGGAGAGGAGGAATGACCTGAGCCATCCCATCCATGCTGACAACTGCCTCTTGGACCCTGAGGCCAATGAGTGCTGGAAAGAGCCTCCTGCCTACACCTTTCGGGATTACAGGTAGGAAAGGGTGAGGGGCTGCTGCTGGCGACCCTCACCAAGGCAGAGCGTCCTGCTCCACAGGCTGTAAGCCCTAAAGCTGTTGATCAGGCACTGGGATGCACTGCCCAGGGAAGGGGTGCAGTCACGGTCCCGAGGTGTTTAGGGAGAGGCTGGATGTGGCACTTAGTGCCGTGGTCTGGCCGATGTGATGGTGTTGGCTCATAGGCTGGACTTGATGATCCCAGAGGTCTTTTCCAGCCTCAACAGTTCTGTGATTCTGTGATAGCAGCCACAGCAGAAGATCCAGCACATAGTTTCTGCTGGCAGCAAGACTAGTTGCTAAACTTCAAGCCACTGAAATGGCTCTGTGATATTTTAGGGTCAGGAGGTTCTACGTGTGGCCAGCAGGGCTGTGTCAGCTGCAAAATGAGAGGGTGAAAGCTAGTGGGACCCAGAGGACATTTTGAGAATTGTTCCATAGGCAAGGAGAGATCTGCTGGTTTTCAGCTGTGACTCCAAAATGAGGCCAGTTCAGGTGGCCCTGGCTGGCCCCACAGCAGGACCCTCTCAGCCCAACAGCCCCTTGCCCTGTGTCTCAGTGGAGTGATGCAGGTTTGGCCCTGGAGGTGGGGATCAGCCCTGAGCTCTCCCTGCTGCTCCCCTCACAGGGATTTCTCACTTCTTCCCCTAGTGCTCTCCTGTACATGAACGCAGATTTTGAAGGAGGAGAGTTCATTTTCACCGAGATGGATGCCAAAACTGTGACGGTAGGTCAGTGCTGTGAACAAAACGCAGTTCCTCAGCAGCATGTCCTGGGGCTCTGGGCTTTTGCAAAGAGCAAAATCCTGTTGGCAGAGGCACACAGACCTTCTGTGCCTTGCCCAGAGGCTGTCCTGAGCAGGAAACTCAGATGGGTGGAATGACTGTCATCCCTGCCTGGAGGACCGCTGAGCTCCCATCCCATCTCGTGGTCAAACATGAAGCAATGTCTCTGTACATATGTAGTGTCTGGCCCAGAGCAGGTCATGGTGGTGGGCATCAATCCCTGAGAGGGGTGGGGCTCAGGCAAGCCCCCACCTCTGCAATTTGGGAGGCTGGGCACCCCCTCTGTGGTTGGACAGAGCATCTGGGCACCGTGCTGAGGCTCTGAAGTCCAGTAGATGCTGGAGAGTAGATTGCATCTACCTAAGACCAATGCCGTATGGTTGATTTTATTGGCACTTCTGCTAATCCTGTAGGATATCTCTTGTGGACTCAGCAGAAGGAGGCATTTCACAGCCTGTGCCAGGGTTAGCCTGAGCTTCCTTGGATCTATGCCATGACCCTGTTTTGCCACAAGTGGCCACCTGCAGTCTTTGCAAGGACTCCATGCCACCATCTCCTTTCTGCATGATGACTGCGCAGGAGAGGAAGCCTCACACGTCTCTATTTACCCCACACACTTCTGCAGCCATGTCCAGAGCTCTGCATGTCCCCGGAGCAGCTCACTGGTTCCTTGGGCAATGCAGAGAGGTGCCCAGTAAGATCCCTGGCCCTGGACCATGGTGAGCCCAGACATGGCCAATACCTGCAGCCGTGCTGCTCCTTGCCACCCAGGTGTTGCCTGTTTTCCCCCAGGCCTCCATCAAGCCCAAGTGCGGGCGAATGATCAGCTTCTCATCAGGCGGCGAGAACCCCCATGGAGTGAAGGCGGTTACCAAAGGCCAGCGGTGCGCTGTGGCTCTTTGGTTCACCTTGGACCCGCTTTACAGAGAACTGGTGAGTCCCTCCATCATGATGAGGGGAGCTGGGGCTTACCCAACATCCCAGAAGAACTGGGACCATCCTCAGCCCCAGTCCCAGCACATCTATTTCCAACCTCCCCTTGCAGCAGCTTTCCCATCTCCTGCACTTAGAGGGGCATGGGCCAGTGGCCCTGAGACCAGTTTTCCCTGCCAGCCACGCTCCTGGACACCCATGGCCCTGGGCCTGTGGGGTACTGAGCGGGCTATGGGAGGGCTTTGTGAAGGACTGGGCTGGCCATTTCTGACACCTAGTGGCAATAACCTGATGAGTGGGGAAGTCCTCCAGAGCCATCCACAGCTCAGAGGCCAATGATGTGTGGTTGCTGCCAGGTCTTCAAAAGCAGCCTGAAGTCCATGGCTCTGGGCACCTGAATGCCTTCAGAGATCTAGGCTGTGGTGCTTTTCACTAGGCAACCTCCAGATTCTGTTTTAAAAGCTTGCTGTACCCCTGTCTCTCTTCGGTAGCAAGTCTGGTCTGTAAGAATAAAAGATAAAAGGCCAAGCAAAAATAAATACAGGGAGAGAGCAAAACCCTTGCGCCCTTGCCTTCTGAAGTAAGTGGGCTGTGAGGTTCTGGGAGAAGCTTATTTTCGAGCATGCTTTTTGGTGCTAGCTGAAATTCCTCTGTGCTTGGTGCACGTATGGCAGGACATCAGCCCTAGCTGGGGAGCTGGAAATCTGTATCAAGCAGAGGGGACAGGAGGGTACTCTGTCAGTGGCTGCTAGTAAAGTGTGATAAGGGAACAGCAATGCATCAGTTCTACCCCAACCATTGTAGCCCCTGGAGGAATTAGGTTCTGAGATACAAAGTAATTTTATTAACTTGTCCAGCAAATCCCCAGCTCAAGTCTCAGACTGCCCCCCATCCTCTCAGCTGCGCTGCTGGCCTTGGGATGAACCACTTGCTGTGGGTCCTCCCAGCAGGCTGAGCCCTGCAGGGCAGGCACTGCAGCTTTGCTGTTACAGCTTCTTCCCTTCCCCTCTTGCAGGAACGAATCCAGGCAGATGAAGTGATCGCAATGTTGGACCAGGAGCATCTAGGACCCAGCGAAATGAACATCAACCCGAAGGATGAGCTATGAACTAGGCCAAAGACTTTCTCTATTAAATATTTATTTAATATTGTTAAACTTATTAGAACCATTCTATTTTTGTACAGAGCCACTGTATAAATTAACAGGTTAATATGGTTGTGGAGTTTCAGGAGTGCCTCTTATGTGTTTAGCACAGCTCTCGCTGGGACCCCTCATCTCAGTGCCAGCATCTGCTGCTGCAACTGACTCTGCCTCTGGGATTCCTTGTCCTTCCCTAGCACTTCTCAGGACTTATTCAGGCCCTTTCTACCTCCTACTTGGAGAATCCCTTTTTTTTCTTCCTCAGCCAGAAATAGCTGCTTCTCTTAAGCCTCCGCTAGAGAAATGTCTCAGGTGTGATAACAGACCAGTCTTCCTGCTCCTGCTAAATGCTGGCTGAAGACCTGGGCAGTGCTGCCCTGGGCGAAACTGGAGCACGAGTCAGTTATTTCCATCTCAGAGCCATTCACCATTTGAAATATGCTTTTTAGGGTTAAAAAAAAAAAAAGGAAGCAAAACGCCTCTACCTCTGTAGCCATGGAAAGCTGCCGTTTGGCATTAATTTTGAGCACAGCTTCCAGACATCACCTGCTGGGCAGGGCATGAGCTGTGCACAGGCAAGAAGGAGTTTGATTTGCAGCTGACTGATGAAATACAGTCTGTAACTCATGTTCAGTCCTTAAGTCATGTTCAGAGACAGTGAGTCTCTGACAGGAGCCGCAGACATACATAGGGTGGTAGCTTCTCTTTCCTCAGAGTATTTCTGACCCAATCTGAGGGTGTTGCAGTGAAAGCATGTGCTGCTTATCACAAGAAATTTACTATGCCAGTAACTCCTGCTAAGCTACTAAATCATCCTTATCCCACCATTAAATTCACTCCTGTGTGTAGGATCAGAGCAGCCCTACCTCAGTCAGACCAAACACTGAAGTCACAGAAGTGCCCACATCCCAAGACATAGGGACAGCTTTTATTTTGGCCCAACAGCTGCTTCTGCTGCTACAAAGCAATTACTAAAAGACAGGTTGCAGCAATCATTACTGTTGAATTTGCTGCAAGGCTGCTGTTTGTCCAGAGAGCACTGCAGGGATCTTGGCTGGAGTTTGCATCTCTAAGCAGCTTTGCTCAGCTCACTGCTGCTCTGGCACTTTCTCAGTCTTTGGCTCCCCTTTGCCAGCTTTGGCATTTACACGGCCTAAAGTCTGTGATGGGAAATTGTCTTTTCTCTTTGTTCATGCACCTTGTGCCTACTCAAATCTTCCAGGCTCAGCAGCACCCTCTTCTCATCCAGTCACTGGCTGCAAAGCTGTAGATGAGAATTGTACTTTTGTGCAGAACTCCTCAAAAGCTGGCCCTGGGCAAGATAAAGGGGAACTTGGCACATCTGGAAGAAACAAAATGACCATACAGTGAAGGAGGCACCACTACTGCCTAGAAAATGATGGGAGGGTCATTTGCTGCATCTCCTCCAATGCAGAATCTGCAGGGGAGAAAGTTCTGAATGTTTCTGAGCCACTGGTGTAGATTGTTTCTTGGAAGTTATCTCCCTTCCTTATAGACTGCTGAAAAAAGATTCATGTTGGCTTCCCAGAGAACTACGCACAGGCCTCTGCTTTCAGAGACCCTTCCTTGCTTAAATGCCCTCCCTGGAAATGCTTAAGCCCCCTTTTTTAAAACAGCCAGAGGAAAAGCTGGAGGGAGGAAAGGGAGGGCAGCTGGAGAGATGAAGCACCAGTTGCATTGTCCTCCATCTGCACCATGCTATTGCATCCCAGGCTTGACTCCTACATGTTGCACCTTCAGCCTGAGTTTGCGCTGCCCTCCCCTGACAATGACATCTGCCCGAGTGCATCCTGCAGAGCTGCCCCTCCCAAGCAGCTCAGTGCAGCCCCTGCCCTCCCTGGGGGCTGTGGGGATCTCCCCAGCTGGTCCTCCTGTGGGAGGGCATTGCAGCTTGGGATTTGTTTGCTGCTGTGGTGGTTAGCCAGAGCTGTGTCTAAATCCAGGGGAAAATAAACTACACACAACATCTAGACCTGTCTTTGTCTTTCTTTAGCCAAATATTAAGAAGGGGAAACTGGAGGGTATGCGCTTTGTCTCACGACGGTGCCTCTGCCTTTGGGGTTTCCTGCCCCAGCGCACACATCCTCTGCGCAGGAGAAGTGCCAGAGATACCAATGTGGATAGGATTAAGGAAAGGTGTGTGGGTGCATTTGCCTGCCTGTCCATCTCCTTTACTCCGCCTAGTAACTTGCACACTGTTGGCACACTTCAGGCAATTTGGAGAGCAAGAGGAGGGTGTTGCCGCCCCTGTGTGCTGCTGGGGTGTGCACCAGGCTGGTTGGGGTGTCAACAGGCTTCTGGCCAAACAACAGCTTTGGTGGAACATGGAGGAGCAGCCTCGGAAGGATTCAGCATTTTAGACCTCAACTGCAAGCACAAACCCCAAATCCTGAAGAAGGGGAGAGACTCTAGGCTGCTTGGGCCGTGCCGCTCACTGCACCGCTTGGCTGCCGAGACCTGCCTGTGGTCTGTGCCAAACTGAAGCCAGGAAACAGGAATGCAGTGAGTCAAAGGCACTTTTCCTGTTTGTTTGTTTTTCCAGCTCTGTGCTCTGACAAAGTCTAGTGCAGAAGTGGATTTGTATTTCTGCTGCAACAGCAAAGGCGATTACCAAATTTACTGGCATGCTGTATCCTCACCAGAGCGAGTTACAGACTGCTTTGGGATGTGCACCAAAATACAGTGTAGGCTTTTGGATCTCTTCTGTCTGCAGATGGGATGGGTTGCTACCAAAGTGACTTGGCATTTTGGAAATTAATTTTAAACTAGATTTGATGTAGGCATCTTGCATCTGTCAGAGCTGTCGAGGTCACATCCAGACTGCCCACAGGACACCCACATCCCTGGCAAATGAAAGCTAAAGAGAATACCTAATGTATACAAACTCCTTTGGTCAAATATCCCCCAGGGACATGGTGATGCATTAATATTTTTGCTCCCTGCTACATTGGCTCACGTTGGTCATTCCTCCCTTGCCCTGTTAGTCTGGTAGTTGCTGCTTCCCAAAGTCCTGACACGAAGCAGCTCCCCAAGGAGGCAGTACCTGAAGTCACACCACTGAGAACAAAGCTGATGTGCATTTCAGAGCAAGCTACGTGGCACCTGGGCCAGCTCTGAGGTCCCCTAGCTAGGGCTCGAGTGACAAAGGGAGCCACAACCTACTTAACATACTGGCCACAGCAGTAGGAGCGGTTTGGAGATGGAGATGCACGAACTGTGTCTTAGTTCCTCGTTAACTCTGCTGTGCCCCTCCTAATACTAATAATATATGCAGGGTAGGATTAGCAGAGTTGATTTATGACAGTCAATGAGAAAAAAAAAAAAGAAATCAAACTCATAAAAGAAATAGAATTAAAAAGTATTTCAAATGACAACTGGAATGGCTGTCAGTGTGTGCACATTTGGGTGTGGCTGCACTCTGAAAGTGAAGCCCTGCATGGTGTTACTCAATACCAGGGGATCTTTACTAGCAAGGATCTTTGCTTTTGTCTTGATGTTAAAGTGGGCCCAAGCCAAGTTTGGTCACTCCTTACACAAGCCTGCTGCTAGGGGTTGTGGAGAGGGCTGGAGGAGCCTGGTCTGTGCCACAAGGAGTCACTAATGTTTCAGAAAAAAAAAAAATAAAAATTAAATGGGTGCCTTTGTTAAGGAGAAGATGAATTATTGCACTTTACAGTCAGGAATGTGGCAGGGGGGGCGG